AATATTTAAGTTCCTATTTCATCCCCATTTGTAAATTGTACCCCCATCCCCTAAACGATGTAATAGTGTAAGACTTTATTTTCCGCAATTTAACGCTTTCAAATACAAATGCTAGTAATTAGGGTTTTGTATGGAAAGACTAAAACCAATCAATAGAAAACCATAATCAAAGACAAAAACAATTCATGTAAATAAATACACTTTCACACAAACACCCCTAGGATAAATCCACTTGGTTGCCTTACAAAAATGGTCATATTACATATGTGAAGTATCTTAGCAAAGACGAGCAAAATACAATATCATAGCCCCTCGATGACGCTATCTATGTTACCTTTCAAAATGATCTTAGTCCTTAAAGAAAAATGCTAAGATACCTTACAATATTTTTAATCATGGTTATACGATGACCCACGCCCGTCCCTTTTACATCCAAAGATAGGGTTACTTACCAAATCAATGGTAAGATAACAACGTCAAAGGAAAAAGGAAATGGACATGAAAGACTTTTGAGTAGGTAGAATGTTCATAGTTAATTGCTCCATTTCAAAACAAACAGCCACACTTTCAAAACATCTTTCAAACTTGAAAACATTTTCAAAAGATCAAACACTTTGTACACATTCTTACGAACGAGAATCATTACAAAGTTTGCCTAGACAAAGGCCTCTTTACAAAATACTTTCAAAAACCACCCAAAGTACATTTTCAAACAAAAGCAAGTGATCTAGCAAGTAACTAAGAGCCCATGGAAAACCATGGATGAAAAGGGTGCTAATACCTTCCCTTTTCATAATCTACCCCCCGAACTCCAAAAATAATCTCAAAGGTCTTTCATGTGCTTTTTCACCTTACCTTTTGGATAAAAGAAAAGTCGGCGGCGACTCTTGCTAACCGTAACATTTGCGATAAAACGCAAAACAACCAAGTCAGTTCTCCCACTGTATCACACAACCTAATCGAGTTGAAGAATGATGAAGATGTGAAGGCCATGTGGAAATCATTTCTCTATAGGATAACTAAAGGTACGATCGAGTTGGATGCGTAGATCCGAAGATCTGTTAACGACATAATGAAGTGTCTGAAACATCAAAAATCATCTGGTAGTGCCTAGGTTTTCTTGTTTAGTTGTTTTAGGGTTATGTTTTTTGTATTGTTCTATTTTTTCACCAAAATATTATGCAATAAATAAGAAGTTTATTTGTCACAAAATATACATATAATACAACCAAAATAAAATAGATCTACATAGGCCTTCCACGGGCTACGTCGGATAACCTAAATAAACCTCTATAGATCTCACCATCTAGGTTTATCAAACCCTTGAGACTGTCAGCATGAACTGCAATAAACTTGAGGCGGTTGTCCTGGTCTCCTGCAAGTGGTGGCTCGGTAGATGAGATAGCACCAGAAGGCCCCAGAACATCAGATGTTGCAGCCGGTGGTATGACTCGAGGGTGTGACACACTGTGAAACCACTCTAGGTATCCATCCTCGCACTGCCCAAGTTGCTGAACCTCTACGGTTGTATCCATGATCTCACAGAGGGAGGTGAGGATGTGACTCTGAAACCATCTATCAATGTCACCAAATTGAGACTCTGGAATTGGACGAGGGATTTCCTGTACATAACCATAATGGCGTAGACACCTCTCAGGCAAGAATCTTTCCACATGGCTCTCCCATCTAATATGCCATGAATATAAAGTATATACCTCAAATGGACGATGAGGACGGTGAGATGTATATGGTGTCCAGACGACATCATTCAAGGTCAGAGCGTCAAGCCTCCTCCGGTACTCCATCAAACCTCCTAGAATGGCTTGCTTGGCCGTCCATCTCTTTGCACCTGGCTCACATGTCGTAACACGCCGGATCTTTCGCTCACAGATATGAGGGAAGTGCTCGTATATCCAACACTGCATAAATAAAAACCAACAAATAAATACACATAAATAACTAATAAAAACCATCAAATAAATTATGGTATACCTAGAGATGGAAGTTGAGGTAACCAGCAAGCTTCCTGGTCTCAGGACGAGAAGCAACATCAAGTGTCGTGTACAGCATGGTCAAGGTTGTCACTCCCCAAACCCAACATGGAATGTCAAGTGCGCTAAAGAGAGACAAGTATCGAACATCAATATAAACTTTAGAGTTGTCCGCGAAAGAGAGTATATGTCACCAGATGTAACTTATACGCCTCAGCGGCGGTCTCGTACCTATGTGCCTCCACAAGCTCTTTATACATTCTTCTCAGCCAAGACATCTGAAGATGAAATCCCAGAGTCTCACCAAACTCCTCTAGCACCTCCAACTCAGAAACCTCCAAATCCTTCATAAATGTGCACCGCCGTCGCCTGGTCCCTATAAACTGGTGTAAAAGATGTACCAGCAATGGGAATGTGAAAGAGGGCATCCACATCATCTAAAGTCATTGTCATCTCTTCAAATGGAAGATGGAAGGATGATGTCTCCGGGTGCCACCTCTCAATAAAAGCTGATAAAAGGGAGGCGTCCAGCATGGTCAAGGAGCAATCAACAAACTCCAGGAGATGGAACTCGCTAATGATCCTCTTCACCTCCTCGGGCATGAGACTCTCACGGAAGTTCTTCAACTTCGAACCATGAGAAGCGACCTTCAACACCGGATGTTCATCTAAGAAGTAAAAACAAATTATTATACATCAAATCTTGTAAGCAAAAATAATTTTTTTGCAATTAAACAAAACCAAAAATATATACCTCGCCATGCCATATGCTATAAGAGACATGGTCCGCAAATCCTGTCAGCACAGACCTGTCTAAAGGTCCTCCAGGGAAACCTTCATCAGTGTATGCTGATGGCTCTGTAGACGCATGAGTCGTGGTGTCTGTATCAGCGGGGGACACCTCATCAACTCGCTCAGTAACAACCTTTTGCCCAGGCTCCTGCACCACATGCTCAACAATGTGCTCCTCAGCTACCGACTCCACAATAGGAGCAGGAGCCTATACCTCCTCAGTAGGATTTTGTACCTTCGCAGTAGGAGCATGTACCTCCTCGACAATGGATACTCTAAGACCTCAAAGGCGAGGTGCGCGGAACTGTACATTCTGCTCAGCCATCCATTTTCGATGAGAATCGGTCGGGGGACAGCGTCCAGCCCGTAGCTCTGAAGCCTATGCCTCGTCAGCACAGGCTTCAACATCACCTCTATCAGTGGTCTGTCCTGCAATAAAACCATCTATGTCTCTGGTCCTCACTGTAAAATAAGAAAATATCAGGAAAATATAAACTACTGGAAACTTCTAAATTTCTGATATTTTTTCAAAAAAAATTGAACTACTGAAAATTTTAAAATTTCCGGTATTCTGTGGCGCACTTGAAATTTTAAAATTTCTGGTATAGATGATAAATGAAAATACCGGATATTTTGAAATTTCCAGTACGAAAATACCAGATATTTTAAAATTTCCGGTACGAAAATATCAGATATTTTGAAATTTTCGGTACAAAATACGTGAAATTTTACAAATCTATTGTAAATTCTCACTTGTTCGCAAAATTTCCGGTATCGCCTTCGAAATTTTCGATATCGCCCAAAAATTTGAAAAATCTGGTTGACAACATGAATTTGAAATATGTGGTGAATGATTTAGGTCTGGACTATATGTGGTGAATGATTTAGGTCTGGACAATTTAGTCTTTTATACAATTTGGGGGGTGCCATGTATAATGTAGGGGTGGCAAGTTAAATTCTCAAATAGTTATATGATTAGGTTAAATATGTCATCGATGATAGCTCTATCTTTTTATTTGTTTGCCGGTGGTTGTTGTGTCCTAGGAACAAACTATGTCTTGAAAATGAAATGGTATATTCTTGTACTTTGAAACTCATATTAGATAAATATTTTCTCAAGCATAACCTATCTCATCCAACGAGAACGGTAATGTGAAATGCGCACAAAGATATAATATGATTTTGAATATTGATGGCAGTAGCCTCTGTAATTCCGACGACTCAAATTTTGATGGATTGACTCAAAATGCTGATAGTACTCGAGTCCCGACGACTCAAATTTTGATGGATTGACTCAAAATAATGATAGTACTTGAGTTTCCAGTTCTACGACTAATATTGGTTATTTCTACATACTTCATGCTAAACTAATGATGCTATATCATAGTTTGTGTTTGGCCTAGAAACTCAACATCAAAGACCTGGTGTGTTATTCTTAATCTTACTCCACTATCAAGCATATATCAGAGAGTGTAAATGTTTACATTACTATGTCACGATTCTTTACAATATTAAAGAGAATTTCTCTTTAGAAAATAATGAATTTAAATATTTCATATTTAAGGAGGGAAATATTTGTGCCAACTATCTAACAAAACACGATACTAGTATTAATATTGCTTACCAATTTTTCACAAAACCTCCTATTAGAATCATCACTCCCCTACTAACTAATACCTAATGCTAGTGGAACTTTATTTTCTAAATAATTTCTTGCTACGATTGACGTTAACAACCTTGTTGACTGAAGGTTGAGTGAAGTGCTCGCAAATTTTATCAATAGTTTCATGGCCGTTTGATTGAAATACATCACATCGGATGGTTGAAAACTACTTTTACATCAAGCACCACAAACTAAACTAAATCACCACAAATCAAAAGAAAAAGTAGCCAATCAATATGCATTAAAGTCCTATAATTTGGTGGCAAGAAGATTATTAAAAAAAGAAAAACAATAAAACCTTCTTACCTACCTATACATCATGACTCTTTTAAGGTCAGGTAAAACCAACTTACCTTTTGCTAATCCAATATTTTGAATCAAATGATAAATGAATGAAGACAACATTTCAGAGGAAACATCCTTTCTCTGACTCATTCAAGACTGAATTTTTTACAACCTACACAAATTCTGACATATTTAATGACAGAAGTTCGAAGACGAAATCCCCATGTCTTTTTGGAGGGGTGAGCTTAACAAAGCCATGTTAATGAACATCACTGTTTCTTTGAGTAAGTGAGATATGGATCTTGAGCAATAGTTAATACATCCGGTCTATCACTCTGATTATATGTAAGACATCGCCGAATGAATTCCTAAAAAAATTGTACACACACAGTAGAGATGATTGTCAGGTTTCAAATTAAGAATTGTAGATATGGAGGAATGAAATTGCAAAAACAACAAAAACTGTGTCCACCATGGAACAAGCAAAGACCGTGTCCACCATGAAATAATAGAATAATATAAATAAATGAGAGATGGCCAAAGAACAATTAGTTACAAGCAAAAGGGCTCAACTCACCTTTGCCTCACTAGAAACAGTAGGTTTAGAGGGAAATTCAACCTTGCGAGCATTAATAATTGTGTCTTCGCGAAGTATTTTCTCCTGTGATTGGTCATGTCCGAAAGGACGTTTACCAAAGAGCATTTGATAAAACAAAACACCAGCAGACCATACATCAACCTGTTTTCCACAAGTCCTAAAATGTAAGACGGTTATCATGTAATTTATGCTAAAGTGAAATATACATTGACCAAGATGGCTGAAAAATTGAGAACCGATAAAACACAACAAAAAAAAAAAGAAGTTTTGCATGTATTCACTACTAAGAAAACTATTGACCTTGGATGATATAAGAGGTGTCTTGTTGAGCTCGAAGCATTCAGGAGGCAAATACCTGCAAACCAAAAAAGAGAGATAAAAAAGACAAAAAGGTTTCATTAAAGCAAGTGTGAAACAGCATAAAAAACATTGAAAGAAGCATCATATTTGGACCATTTCAAAGTTTGAAATCCTACAACAACGATATTCATCACTTACCAATATGTCCCGGCCCCCTGGGATGTAAGTTCCATACCCTGGGATCCCACATCATTCTCCACAATCTTGCTAAGACCAAAGTCAGTCACTTTGGCACTACCAAGCTCATCAAACAAAACATTTCCAGGCTTTAAATCATAATGGATAATTTTCAGTGTTCTTTTATTCATGTATATAAGGCCTTGGAAAATCTGAACTAAAATGACCCTAGCTTCCTTCTCGGGCAATGAAGATGTTGTTTTAAGAACAGCGTCAAGATCTTTCCCTGGTAGAACAAAGGAGGATCAAAGGAGCAAGCAGTAGACAATACAAGAAATTAAACTAACAATATTTATAGGCCTGGTTTGAATAAACAACTTAATTGAACACTTATAGCATAAGTGTTTATCATATAAGTGCTTATTTAAAATCAAACAGTTCTCGTATAAGCTATAAGTTGTTTTCATTAGCTATCTTGTGGTGCTTATGAAAATAAGCTGAAAACAACTTTTGGACATATTATAAGTTGTTTTCATAGCTCTCTAAAATATTCCCACAAGTGCTTATGTCAGAAGGTAAACTAAAAAAAGTCAACGAAGTAATGATATTCATAAAACAGATGAGAGTATATACCACTACAATACTCGAGAACAGTGCAAAATGTATTATGATCAATCTCAAAGATGTCCCATAGGCGAACAATGTGAGGATGAACCAAGGTCTTGTGAATATTATACTCTCGAATTGCATGCCTTATGTAACTTTGCTTCTTCTCTTCACTCCATTGAGCATTTAAACCATGAAGCTTGCAAGCAACATATCTATGATCCACCAAGTCAAAAGCCTGCTGGAAATTTCTTACTTCAAATCACTGCAAAAAGGTATTTATTTACAATTGCCAATATAGGCAAAGAAACTATCTAGGATTCTAGTTTTACTAACTCAACGCTGTATAATATTTGCTTAAGTGTATACTCCCCCATTCTTTATTATAAGCAACTTTTACTTTTTATATTCATGAATAATTGATGTATGTGGTTTATATATAGTCCAAATACATCATTTATTCAATAAATCTAAAAGTCAAAATTTGCTTATAAAAGAGAATGGAGGGAGTGAATACTATAAATTGATTACTAATGTACTAAAAAAGTTTAGACCTTGTACACCTCGCTGAAACCTCCCTTTCCAAGAAGGTTTAAAAGAGCATAACGATGGTTTAGAATTTGAAAGCTGTTGAACCGAGAACCATCTTCATCCCGTATACGTTTCATTTCACGAATTAACCTTCCCTTCTCTAGGTCGTAGCGGTCCTTCTCTCGTAAGATAGATTCTTCTTCCTGAAAATTGTTCAGCCATTAGAAACATAAAGAGGAAATAGAAGAATCAGAAAAGTTCTGACTTACTCGTTTAATGTTCGCTAGTCGAGCCTTATATATTTCATCCTGAATGAGAGCATCTTCCAGTAATCCAGCCTCTGCATTTATTCCATCGCCCTTATCTTCAACCATAAAAAAGGCCCAAGCAAAACAAAACTTAAAGCATTAGAAATGAGCAGAATATATTTATACAATTTAGTCTAGCAGTACAAATAATTACATAATGGACATGTTTATTATGTTAATGACAATTGGTAAAAACTAAGAATGAAGGGAGAAGTGGCGACAGAAAAGGACAGACAATCATGTGGTTCACTTTAGCCCTCTTCCTTAAGTTCAGGAATACAAGTGTTAAAAGAAAAGAGGAAACTTAGTGTTACCAGATTGTTTTTCCTTAAATAACTTGCGCTGCCGCATAATTGCCTCCCTTTTTTCCGTTAGTTGTTTCTGCAAAACATGAATTAAGACGAGGGAATCATGTTATTAATAATACAAACTACTGTCATAGACAATGGGTTCAATTGGCAAAAAAATATCAAACAGAAGTTATAGAAACATCAACAAAGTATACCCTGAGCTAACACCCAATACTACTGAAAAGAAAAACATTTGGAGGTTCGAAAACACCATTGTTATAGTTGTATTTAATCATTAACCCAAAAAAAAAGAAGCAAAAAGGCCCAATTTTAATAATATTTACAATCTAAGATCTTCGATAAAACACCCATAAAATCAGTGTTGCACAAATGAAACATGTATATATTTTTAGAGATTGACAGTTTAAACTTTAATGTTACATAGAAACAATCGTTTTGTTTTCATAGTGCACATACAAATAATCATGCAATAGGATTAAAATCTATATATTTCAAGCATTGGACGATGCAGATCAATACTAATCTCTACTCTAGTGTGTATCTATTTTAAATTGGAATTTCATCTTGAATCCTAATTCACTATGATGAATCTTGAATAATTCTAACAAATCATTACTTAAACGTAGTGTAACCAGTCTCCATTTTTTCCAATTTTGTATGGCGAAACACTTTTCTTTTATCATTTGATTTATGATTATGACCAGAGTCTTGAATTACTTTGAGGCTAGTAGATGATTTATTAGCTTATAATTTTACTATGCCGTTGTATTTAATTAATAATTTCATATTTGCATTGGTAATATATCTTACAATTCATAATAAGATTTGATTAGTGATTCATAAAATAGGTCTTCCGAATCACAATTTTATAACAATGACTGAAAGCACTAGCGCAACGTTGCAAAAATAGCTCAGTGTGGGTGAGCTTCGAATGGAAAAAAAAAAAATTTAATGCAATTCTATCTTGAATCCCAAACACGGTGTGACATCTATCATCATACTTGCAAATACCATTGGTGCGTAATAAATTCAATAAATAGTGACAGGAAGGAAGAAATTAGACATACAAGCTGAGCAAATATATCCTTTAACTCCTGGCCATCTTCCCAGGTCTCAGTTAAGACAGTTCCAGCTCTAAAACTCATAATCAAACCAATAAGAAAACCCACATAAAAATATTATATAGAAATTCATTTTTCACAACACTCCACTGATACCTTGATACACCAACATTTCCAAGTCTCAGTGAGTCTTGTCGTACTTTTAGCCTTGCTTCTTGTCTCTCAGCTTTTGAAACTGATATCAACAAATCAGATATTATTTTTGTTCTCTGCAAAATACAAAAGCCAAAGGTGAATATGCTGCCTGACGTATTTAGGAGAACAAGAGGGGGCGACAGAATAACGCATATAACAATAGCCTATTAAGATTTCCAGTTCATTTTTGTTATAGAAATTTCATGCCGGCCAATTTAGTGTATTGCTTCATGCAGAATGATTTCATCTATTGCATGCACAAGAGAATCCACCACTTCATATTTTAAATCTATACCAATAGGAGTGTCGTGTCCTGATAGAATCAAGAAGGAACGTTTAACCACAACTATTGTGCCATCAAAAGCTAAAAATAACCCAACCTTAGGCTTCATTTGCTGTTCAAGATCCTTGAGTTCCCGCAGTTCCTACACGTGCCAGAATCAAACAGTAAAATAAAAGAATAACATCACGTTAATTTCAACAACTGTCATTTCCAGTACCTTCAATATATATTTACAATTAAAAAATACACATTTACAACTCACTACAAATTTCAAATTGTTTTCTTCCCAAAACATAGTATTTGCTCATTTATAAAATTTTATCAAAATAATGCAATTTGAATAACACAATCCAATTGCTTCACTGGCATATTTTTGCAACTGCAAAGGAGTGTATTTCAGTCCAGTGGCAACAGAGTTGTTCACGTCAGCACAACCAATTCATAAAAATGCACAATTAACAATACACAGTTAGTAACAAATTAAGTGTCATTTAGTTAAACTAGGGCTAAAACTATTATTGTAATAATTTTCTTTCTAAACCCTAAACGCTAAATAGACTTAACATTTTAAAACTATTTATCAATTCTAATGATATTTGTTAAAAGTTTCACATTGGACAATATATGGTTTGAACATATGTTTATAAGTGGGGGACAATCTTCACCTGACACTTCTGTTTTATGACACTACGAAAGGCCTAGCCCATTATCCTAAGATGGTATCAACGGCTCCAGGTTTTGGGGTCTCGCTTCCTCATAAATCCTAACAGCCACTTCGGTATGTTTTTCTCCATATGTTACAGATTCTTTCCCTTCACTGCTACCGTTCACATAAGCTTCTTTTTTGCCGTTCACGCATTTTAACCATCATAAAGCACATATTTCGTGTCAAAAACCACACCCTTCCCTTCCGCAAAACAGAAATATAAATAAACTACATTATGATATATTCATTTTTTGTGGGTATTTTACAACAGTTTTTGTGAGCACTCCTTTAACCTCTTAACATCAACAAAAGGGTTGTTGTAGCCTCTTTTATTGCTATTTGTCTGATATTAGTGATTCTCCAGAGTTGGTTTTGTTGCAATTATTGTGTAAGTTTCTTCCCCTTTTTTTGTGTGCAATGGAAAAATTGATATAAACGGTTTTAGTACTCCTCATCTAGGAATGAATGACAAGAATTTTCCTTAGTGTCGTTTAAAACTTCTGGTACTAGCTCTAAGAGTGCTTGAATTCTTAATTTTGGTGTTTATCATCACATGACATTTGATTCTCAACCTATTTTGAAGTATATTTTTCTTTCTAACATTTCTTATTGTAGTTGTTGACTCGGTGGAAATTTCATCTTGTGCTCAAGAGGCATTGAAAGATGAAAATTAGGTCCAAGCTATGAACGAAGAATCAATAAAAGCACTTGAAAAAAAAAATGCAATTTGGAGATTCTCAAAAGGCAAGAAAACAATTGGAAGCAAATGGATCTATGGATCTATACAGTAAAGTACAAGTCAGATGACACTTTTGATCGTTACATAACCATTCTAATGGCAAAAGGACATACTTAGATGTATGACAATGATTATGAGGAGACATTTGCACCAATGACAAAGATGAATATTGTTCGGATATTATTATCTCTTGCTGCCCACTTTGGTTGGAAAATACTCCAATTGGATGTTAAAAATTCTTGCATGGAAACTTAGAGGAGGAGGTGTATATGGAGATTCCTCCGAGCTACGAGCTATGGTCTCATTGTCAACAATGTTGTCGATTAAGGAAGACCTTATATGGACTAAAGCATCCCCCTCAGGCATGGTTTGGAAGATTCATAAAAAAATGGTGTCCTTGGGTTATAAGCAAAGCCATGGATTTGACTGAAAAATGGTGTCCTTATGTTATGTTGATGAAATTCTTATTAAGAGAGATGATTTGACTGAGAAATAGTTGCTCAAAGAGAAACTATTAGCAACATTTGAGATGAAAGACCTTGTCCAACTCATGTATATTTTGGAAATTAAGGAAGCCTACTCAAAGAAAGATATTTTTATCTCATAAAAAATGTCTTTGATCTTTTGAACAAAATCACATGATGAGTTATGAAGAGAAAAGTGTCAAAAGGAAAGCTTGGATGCAAACTTGCAAGTCTTCCGATTGAACGAAATCACATGATGAGTTATGACGAGAAAAATGTCAAAATTGACAAGGCACAATATCAGAGATTAATGGAAAAATTGATTTATTTTGCACACACTAGGTCAGATTTGGGTTATGCACTTAGTGTGATGAGTCAAATCATGCATGACCCATAGGCAAGGCATTTCCAATCTGTTGACTAAATTCTACAATATCTTAAAGTCACTTCGGGAAGAAGTCTCTTGTTCTAAAGTGGTGGAGATTTAAATATTGAGGCATATATGGATGTTGATTATGCAAGTTCAGTAAGCGATCGGATATCAACTTCTGGTTATTGTATTTTTCTTGTGTGGAAATCTTGTTACTTGGGGAAGCAAGAAGTAAAGTGTAATGCCTCGACCAAGTGCTGAAGCATATTTTAGAACTATGGCACTAGAAATTTGTGAATTAATGTGGATGAAATAAGTGCTCGATCAAGTAGATCACACTCAGTTCTTCAAAGATTTAAAGCTACATTGTTAAAATCCTATGGAACATTTGTGTGACAACAAATCGGTCATTAGTATTGCACATAATCTTGTTTAACATGGTAGAACAAAGCACATTGAGATTGACCGACATTTCATCAAAAAGAAGTTTGATAGTGAATTGATAACTAGAGTCTACATTCCTTCTGGTTACCAACCGATTAATGTGTTAATAAAGGGTTTATCAACCGAATAGGTCAACCAATTTACTTGCAAGTTTAGAATGATTGATATCCTCCACTCACCAACTTGAGAGAGTGTTGTAAATAATAGATCGAGTTAGTTTTATTTTAGTTAGTTTTATTTTATCTTTAATTAGTTTTATCTTATAGTAAGGATCCGTTAAGCAAAACCAGTTAGATCTACTTTTCCCTATTTAAGCAAACTACCCACTGAATTATAAAATAACTTTGAAATGTATTATAAAACCTTTTTCTACAATATCTTACTATATATTATTCCAAGATTCATAACCTCTTTCTGATCATAGTACTTGATGCCATTTGACAATTATTCGCATACCTTTTCTATCTGTGGACAAAGGTTCTTATGCTCAGAGGTTTCTTGCTTCGCTTTACGCAAGTCTTCCTCCAACACAGCAACTTTAGCACGTAAAGATGCAATCTCCTCCTAATTTAATACAAAGATAAAATTTAAAAAAATGAGAAAATAAATTGAAAGTCACATTTAACCCTAATGGGCATTTTATTATTTAACCCTAATGGGACACACAGACTTACTAATAATCTACTTAAACCTACTTAGCCACCCTACTAATTATCTAAATACCTCATATTAGGTCCTTATTTATTGGGTCTCCTTACAAAACAATAGAAAGAAGTCATATCAAACTTCTAATTATTTACATAAAATTAATATTTACATATGAAGTCACACGTTTTTTAGCTTACCATAAAATTTACATGTAGAACTAAAATCTACAACAAACCATACCTTTAATGAAGCACTATTATCACTGTGAAGCTGATCTTTGAGTCTACCATCCTACAAATAAACGCAGACTTTATAGCAAACAATCAAGGAGTACAACATAAATGAATATATTATGAAATGTATTGCCTAAGTATGTTATCAATCTTGGATAACGGCGCAACGCGGACATCTCCAAAAATGGAGCGGAACAGGAGGAAGGAGAAGAATGGACATTAGTATAGTTAATATTAATAAACATATAGATGTTAAAAACTAAAAAAAAATTACTCAAAATTCATAAAGTATTCATAGTTAGAAATAATAGCCATAATCTCTTAAGTCATTCAGTATCAATTTCTTATACTCAAGTGTATAAATATATAGTTGCAATTGTCAAAAATCCTTTGAAAAAACTGAGGGGAGATTGAAAAATGACACGAACCAAATATTCATAGCAACGAGCTTACTTTATGGGATACATCTGAAGCCGGGAGAGAATTTTGTGTTCTGGTCTGATCATTAGATTTGGAACCACGGCCCCTACCTGAACCAGAACCCCCTCTTCCTCGGCCAGATTTCTTTCTATTTGCATCAACATTATTTTTTGTCTCCACAGCCTCCAAATTAGTTTGTCTTCCATCAGTAACAGCCTGATATATTGATAGGTTTTTTTAGTTGAAACAGAAACAACTGATTGGCCAATTTTTGAGACAATAGAGTCACCATATGAAAACAAACCTCGTTAACATCTTCTTGAACTTTTAGCCGCTTCCGTGTGTTGGCTTGAATCAAGAACTCCCCACCATTCTGGATGAGAAACATGAAGGTAAGAACAAACAATCAAAATTCAGTTAATCAAAAGAACACATCCAAACATTACTATTTTTCAGATAATCAACAATCAAATACGTACACATATTAGACAATCTTCTATTCAACAAAATAACATCAACGATAAACAGACAAAAATACCATATACATGTACTGTATCAAAAACCATACAGATACACAATCAATAAATCAACAACAACAACAACAACAACCAAGCCTTATCCCACTAAGTGGGGCCGGCTCCATGGATCAACTTTCTCCATAGTGTTTTATCAAATACCATGCTTCTATCTAAATCGTTCATCTCGAGGTCTTTCTTAATAATTTCTCTTATACCTCTAATTGTTTGACTTCTCTCCATCAGATCTACTATCCTTACCACATAATCTATCGGTCTTCTCTCTACATGTCCAAACCACATGAGTCTATTTTCCACCATCTTTTCTATAATAGGCGCTACCCCAAGACTCTCTCTAATATTGTCATTTCTACAATCAATAAACCATCAAAACAAAAATTACCACCACCAGCTACTAAATCCGCATAAAAAATCCATATCACAAAAACCAAATAAGCAGCAAATACAACAAAAACAACCCTCATAAAAGCATACACTCCAAATACCAAACTCATCTTGCAGATAAAAATGGATAATAAAACCTACATCATCATCAGAATCACTTGAAGAAGAAGAAGGCTCCACCATTTCTTCAGCTGGACCACCAAATTTCCCAGCAGAAGAAACAGAAGGCCAACCCGGTTGCTGAGAAGCAGTGGAGGAAGCTTTTCCCACCATTCGAGCTTCCAGCTTAGCAATCTTTGTAGGCAGAGACTGATCCGATTGGTTAGAAGAATTCGACGCAAAATGAACGAGCATGTCGTCTGACATTGTTGCTTCTGCAACTGCAAACTGTTCTTCACAAACAAAAAATCATTCAAATCAAAAACACAATAACCTCAGAAAATTCCATTTCACCATTTCTAGAAAAGAATCGAAATTGATCATACCCATTCGTGATCAAAGAACGAAAGGTGGTGACTTTATACAGACCTGCGCAAAGAAATTGGGGATTTACAGCAAAATCAGTTGGTGATGCAGACCAGAAAGTAAAATTGGGGGGAAATTGAGAATCTTTGAGTGAAGAAGTGAAAGAAAGAATTGATTTGGGAAAAGAGAATCTAGGGTTTTTGAGTTTTGGGAAAGAGTAGTAAAATCAAAAGCTTGGGAGGGAAGGCTGTTTGATTAAATTGGGTATGTGAGACAATGAAGTATGACTACAAAATAAGGTAGTAATAAAGGCTGGTATTTTTTCTCTTTGTATTTTTTTTCCTTTGTGAGAATAGGTGGAGTCATGAATTTGTACTAAAATATAAACCGTTTGATCATTGATCGAACGTTATATGGTGAAAGGGTTTAGACATTTGAGATTGAATGATTGTACCGACTTTTTATGGGATATAAAGGTAAATAATGAGAATGACTTTACACATGCAAATATATTATTGAGAATTTGAGGTTTGTAATCCTTAAAGCAAGATTCGTTTATCACTCGAACCCAAGCATTTGGTTAGGGTGGTGATATTTTGATGAACTATTCTTTTACATGACTGGTAAGTATATGTTTTATTTGAAATGTGCTTCTAAATTTGACATCTTGATAATTGAGAATACTTAAATTGTTGTTCGTCTATCCATTATTGTTACGTAACTAATATGATTTTGTGATTGTAATTTGAAAAAAAAATATACATAATGAGAAAGGAAAAAGTTTTTCAAATTCATGAATGAGTATACAAATGAGATGAAACTTCAATGCAAAAGGAAAAAAGTTAAAGGTTAAATTGTTAGTCATTAAGGCTATAATTAAATAGTTGATATGTGAAACTGATTATTTGGTGCCTAAAATTATTATTACCATCAAACACATGTATATGTTAAAGCTATAAAAGATAGTTTCATATATTTCACGCTGAAAGCACCTGTGGGTGATTTTATGTGTTGTGCACATAAATGTCTTCTAAAGGTTTTAAACTGAACAAAAAAGAATAAATTACAAGCATCATTAGTCAAGAAGTAATCACAATACCAAATGTTCAACTTCTAGTTGAAATGGATAATCAACGTTAAATCAAATAATCTAAAGGAATTGAATTTGTGAAGTTGTAAAAGCTCATTTGATCACGCGCTCAATGTTTTTATCTTTAGTTTGATCAATTGAATACAATTTAAGCAAGATAAGGTCTTTAAGTACTTAAACAATGCATGCGCACTCACATACACACTAACAAAATGTATTTCAAACTCTTCATCTTTTCTTAAAACTTAAAAATCAACTCGGATAAGTACTTAAATGATTAAAAAGCATTATAATAAAGTACGAGAGTAAAACTTAACAATTTAATCAACTAGACTCTTTATCTAATCGATTAAATCAAGATTAACACCTCTTAATCGATTTGGTAGCTTTGTTAATGGACCAAGTGACGTCGCAAAATAGAGTTTCCTTATTTGGCTTAACTAATTGATTAGGCTGGTGTTCTAACCGATTAAAAAACGACCAAACTCATGAATTATAGCCTTTTGATCCAATTTTTCCTATGTAAATGAGTGATTTCATCATTTTTAATCACACAAATTTTTTATTTATCAACTCTCATATTTTACTCATTCTTCTTTGTATTAGTATATTTGAAAAACGCCCATAAGGGGCAACGTGGAAGGTGAATGATGTAACACATCATCCACAACATCCTTCTGATTACTTGTTTACTAGAGTGAGCACCCATCATTTAGAGGCGACTCCCAGGAAAACTCACTCGGAACGTGGGATGTGATGTGTCATAGTCTGCAACGGTGCAAAGAAGAATTCATGGAGAAATTAATCATGTTATCATGAATAATAAAGGATTATATAACCTTTCCCACACTCCTATAAGTGGTTGTTATTTACTAGGAGTTTGAGGTTCAAGCCTAGGAATTTATTTAAATGTATCAACCCTAAGGCGAACAGGGAGGACAATATCATTACACATATGCCACTTATAGAGCTTCTCACTTATATGCATGAGTCAACTCCAAATCTCACAATCAATTCTAAAAGCTTATTACAACCCTTAATCATCGGAGATTATCCACCGTAAACTGCGATAAAACTGACATGGACCACACTCACCATTACTCGCCCTTTTTTTGCCATTTTCCCCCTGGAAAATGCTTAAACGAAGTTCCAAGGCAGTTGTCAACACAATTGTTAGAGGTTTCACTAGCATATGAGAGTTAAGTTCCACTCAGAGGAAATATTCCAAGTAGGTTTTGACGGCAAACATCATATTCGTTAGTATTTCCATAACCCTAGGAAAAAAGTCAATATTAAAATCACCTTTTCCAGTAAAGACGTCATTGCCATTCTCCCCCACAACAATGATTTCATGATCATCACGGTGCATTATGGATATTGGAATATACAGTGAATATTAATTGACCCTCCAAAAATTATATTTCTCCATTTCTAGAAAAGTATCAAAATTGGTCATACCCATTCGTGATCAAAGAGCGGAAGGTGGTGATTTTTTACAGACCTGCGTAAAGAAATTAGGGATTTACAAAATATGAAAAAAGCAAAATTAGTTGAAGAAATAAAATTGGGGGAAAATTTGAGTATCTTTTGACTGGAGAATTGAAAGAAAGAATTGATTGGGAAAATAGAATCTAGGGTTTTTGAGTTTTGGTAAAGAGTGGTAAAATCAAAAGCTTGGGAAGGAAGATTGTTTAATTAAATTGGGTATGCGAGAAAATGAAGCATGAGCGCAAAATTAGGCAGTAATAAAGGTTGGAATTTTTCTTCGTTTATTAATTTTTTTCTTTATGAAATAATTGTGGGTTGAATTGTTTAAAGTAAATAGTTTGGCAGAAATGGAAATAATTGGGGGAGTCATGGATTTATACTTTTGTAAATATTTATTGTTTGATCTTGACTGAACGTTTCATGATAGAGTGGTTTAGACATTTGAGATTGAATGTTTGTATAGTTTTTTTACCAAAATATAAAGGTAAATAATGAGACAAGTTAAGGGTGGACAATCGGTCAGTTTGGGTCGATATCGGGCTCAAAACTAAAATCTGATGCAAACCGCAGTTTCATTGTAAGGGTTCAATTTTGACCGATAAAATTTCGTTTTTTAGAAAATTGGATTAAATTGGTTTAATATTTATTGAGCTAAACTCATAAAATGGTCAATTTTTTATAAAACTCACACATTTATTTTTTAGATTTAAAAAAAAAACCTATCAAAATTTTAGAATAGTCTAAAGTGAATTGTTTTCTTTTATTATTGATGAAAATATTATTATTATAATAAGATTTCAATATCATTTAATATTAATTTGTTCATTATCATACTTTAAATCACAAATTATGTAACACTCAATTTCATATTACATGTCTTGTATTTTTGTGAGTACATATATCACCGTTAAATTATAGAAAATGATAATAAGTTGAAAATATCATGAATATCATTTTTATAATAGTTCACCACTATAGTAATAAAAATAAATAAAATGAATATTAGTTGAGTTCGGTCGGGTTCGATCTTTGACGGGTTCAAAATAATCATCTGAGCCCGACCAAAGCAACCATATACTATCCAAATTAAACAACTTGATCAACCTGACACTCGATCCAACCTGATCTATTTGCACAAAAAATACAATTGATCGGTCGATTTGAGTCGGATGGTTCAATTTTGTCCACCCCTAAATTGTACACGTGTGAAAATACTATTAGAATATAATGTGAGATTCAAATTGGTACTACTTAAATCAAGGGTGGTGATATTTTTATGAAGTTTTTTTACATGTTTGATTATTATATGCTTGATTTAGAATGTACTTTTAAATTTAATAACTTGATAATTGAGAATACGTAAATTGTTGTCTACTTATCATCTATTGTAATGTAATTAATATGATTTCACAGTTGTAATTTGAATTAAAAATACATAATAAGAAAGGAAAATGTTTTTCAAATTCATGAATGAATATACAAATATGATGAATTTCTAATGCAAAAGGGAAAAATGCAAGTTAAATCACTAGTCATTGATGATTACAAATGTGATTAAATTTTATTTTGTGCTTAAAATTACTATCAATGGTTTATGAGATGGTTTTGTCTATCCATGACTATGTGAAACATTTCCCCGATGAATTTAGCATCTATTTGGAGACACATCCAAATACCATCAAATGTACGTGTATATTAAAGCTACAAAATATAAATTCATATATTTCACGCAGAAAGGACTTATGTGTAGTTCTATATGTTGTGTGCAAATAAATGTTTCTTAGAGGTTTTGATGATGGCAACTGAATAAGGAAGAATAAATCACAAGCATTAACAGTTAAGAAACAGACAGAAGGCCAAGTGTTCATGTTCTAGTTGAAAGAACTAATCAAAGTTAAATTAAGTAATCGAAAGGAACTAAAGTTATAAAGTTCTTAAATCATTGTCTGATCTCGCACTCAATGTTTTTATCTTGTATGATCAATTGAATGTAATTTAAGCAAAAATAGGTCTAGAAGTACGAAGGGGATGTACAAACACACCAAAAGTATTTCAAACTTGTCATATTTTCTTAAAACTTCTTAAAAGTCAATTTGTGCAAGTACTTAAACAATTAAGAAACATTTTAATCAATTAGGAAAATAAAAATCAATTGTTAAGTTTGTTCACCTAACTGATTAAAGCAAAAGTAACACATTTTAATAGATTATGTAGCCTTGTTAATCGATTAAGCGATGTCGCATATTAGAGATTCCCTTTTTAGCTTAACCTAATTGATAAGGAAGCGGCCAGACTCATGGATTGTTTCCTTTTTTAGTCAAAT